GCGATGGGTTGATGGAAACCGGTAATCTAAACCCCGGGACTTGGAGTGGCGAACCACATAAAGCCCCGCTAGGTTAGGCGTGATATTGAACCGGTCGATACCTGGGGAAAGTCACTTGAAATGGATGGCTAGCCGCTTGTGTACGGTCGTATGAGGAAGACCAGGTGGGAGAGGGACATCGGAGACGAGCTCAGTAGAGCCAATTCCACAGTAGTATCGATAGAATAAGGATAAAGAAGCGACTGCCCGACGATGAGCTAGTGACTGTAAGTTACATGTTAAGGATGGATCGTTGATGAGACGAATGGTTTTACGTTGAACGCCTTCAAGAAGAGACTGCACTCATGACTGCAGTATTCAAGTGTGGGGTGAATCTAAGATTTGTAAAGTGAAACGAGGCGAATGACAATGAAGAAACGTCTGGCACGGATGAGGAAACCGATTTCGCTCGTAGCATGAGAGACAAGTAGGTAAATATATATAGTAATCATGAAAGAGAAGAAGATAAGGACAGCCCCAATAGGTTACATAAATCTGTGGACCGGAGAATATTTGGGTTAAAATTTTAACGAGGAGGAAAAGGATTCGTGTTTAAGAGAAATTGACTTAAGGGAAGTTTTACGGGCATTAAACAGAACACGGTTGCGACAGTTCCAAACAGAAATAAGACCCAAATCAGAATTTAGGGAAGAACCGAGAAAGGAGCGGTCATCACCAATGATGGAGTTAACGGTGCGTGAAGAGGAATGGGACAAAGAAAAGTGTGGGGTAGCATCATCGGTAAAAACGTGAATAGGATTTGAAGTTGAAAAAAGTCATGAATGAATATTAGAAAAGGTGAAAGTGAAAATGCAGAATCCCAAGGGACACAGGTATTCACTGGTACGGAACGAGACATGGCCCCATCTACGCGAACAGACGTGCTGAAGTACCTGAGATAGCTTGATGTCTTGGACACAACTTCTGAAGGAAAGTCGAACTTGGTTAGTCTAGTCAACAGACCTGCGTAGCAGACACGATCCGTGTTTGTCGAATGCCGCTGACCATGTATGCAAAATGAGCACCAAAAGATCATCGGATCAGAAACCGAAACTGACGGTCTCTAGGCCCCTTGTTCTGCTCCAAGTGGCGGCGCAATTGATCAGCAACCACTGATTCGAGAGAACTGATGTGACAGAAACGGTGAGGTGGTTATTTGGGTCTGAATGATCGCCGCGTTTGAGGATGGGTAATATTTATGATATTTTCAATGGGGTTAGGAATACCCTGGAATCCAGTTCTGGCTTCAGACTGCATGCCAAGCAAATCACGGTAGATCAGGCTGTATAAAAAAGAAACCATTCCATAAATCGCCCGTGGACGGAACACCTCTAGGTTGTATTTTCTTTGAGGATTAACAACTGAAGCCCTCAGCTACTAGGAACTTGACCCAGAAGGGGATCGGTGTTCAGTACATTAGATCATCGTCCTTTGGATGGGGTCAGATGTTCATAGTGCCTGATACGTCTCAATGCCCAATCGAGCCGGTGTGGTTCGTACACCTCTTCACGGTTGGTTTAAAAGCAAGGTTCTCCTAGGTGACCTACCACTAGTTCACCAACCCGATT